TCTTTCTTCCCATGATGGGCGATGCTTAACTCCATGTCATGGGCGCGAGTGGCCAATTTCTCGAAGGTCCGTGGTTTAATGTCTTGAAGGATGTATTACAAACCCCATTGCATGCCTTGGATGCACATCTCGATTGAAGAGGTTTCCGAGAGCCTGTCTTTACAGTCGAGGCTTAGAGTGCGCCATCTGTTGATGTAGTCAATGACTGGCTCGTCCTTCCACTGCTTTGTGCTCGTTAGCTCTAGCATGCTCACAATGCGGCGGGTGCTGTAGAAGCGGTTGAGGAATTCCCTTTCCAACTGTTCCCAGCTGTTGATGGACTCAGGCTCTAGGTCCGTGTACCACTCAAAGGCGTTTCCTTTCAGCGAGCGCACAAATTGCTTGGCGAGGTAGTCTCCCTCCGTCCCCGCGTTGTTGCAAGTTTCGACGAAATGTGCAACGTGCTGCTTTGGGTTTCCTTTTCCATCAAACTGCATGAACTTTGGTGGTTGATATCCCCTCGGCATCTTTAGGGCATCAATCTTCTTTGAATAAGGCTTTGAGTACAACCCGGAGGTATTTGAGCTCCCTTCGTACTGTGCCTTGACGGTGCTGGCAATCATCTCTTGCAACTGCTGGATAGAAAGAGATCCCATGAGTGCCGCTTCTTGGTCTGGCTCCGGCTTCGCATCGATTCTTTCCACCGTAGGCTTATCTTCTGGGTTAGGGTTTTCGCCGTCCTATGGCTCCAGTCGGCTGACGAGTGCAGCGATTTGCAAGTCTTTTTCTTCCACAGTTCAGGTTAGCCTTGCGATTGCTTCATTTATTTGAGCCAGCTGCTCATCGATTGAAATTGCTCCAATGGTCATGAATTGCATGGCTGAACTGCCGCTCGAATCGGCATCGGAGAGCATGGATTCAGAGTATTTCCTTGGACTTTCGCCCCTTGGTGCCCTTGGTGAGGCTAAGGTGATCAAAGGCTCGTGCCTTGGGTGCTCTTGTTCCTTTGGCAGAGTTGATGCAGAGGTAAAAGAGGCGGCAGAAGTAGCTCTTGCCTTGCTTCGAGTCATGATGCCTAAAGTGACACCACTTGCGACGAGGACGCTCTTGTTCTTTGCGCCAGTTGCGGAAACTGTTTAAGCCTTCCTTGATGCCATTAATTTTGGAAGTGTGCTCGAATTTCTTGAACGGAGAAAGAGATGAGAGGTAGAGATGGTCCCACTGGGCGTGCCAAATTTGTGAACACGGAAAATTCCTGAAACGAAAGAGACAAGAACAACGCGCACAAACAAATATTTGTATTTGATGATTTTGGGTTACAATCTCTCTCTATTTTGATCCTCTGATTCGATCTCCGTAAGGTGTTGATTGGTGGATATTTCGTTGATCCAAGGGCCGTCAAGGCTTGATCTTGGATGAACTGTTGGAAGTTTCTTCAAATGGCCGTGGGCTTGATCTTTGGAGGTGGATTTGAGCGGATCTTCAAGGAGCCGTTGGGGCTTGATTTTGAGGATGAATGTTTCTTCAAGGGCCGTTTGAGGCTTGATCTTGAATAACGGTGATGAGCAGATCTTCAAGGGCTTTTGGGCTTGATCTTGAAGAAACAGTGATGAACAGATCTTCAAGGGCTTTTGGGCTTAATCTTGAAGAACGGTTGGATGTGTGTGGATTTGTCGACGTTGTTGATCCAAAGGGTCGTTGGGGCTTGATCTTGGATGAACGGATGATGAACGATGGTGCTTTCTTCAAGGGCCGTCGGGGCTTGATCTTGAATTGGTGGATGATTGTTGATCCAAAGGGCCGTTGGGGCTTGATCTTGGATGAACGATGAACGAAGAACGAAGAGAGCTTTCTTGATTCTTCGGGAACCTGGATGCTTGAGAGCTTCGGAGTTTCAGAGCTTCAAAGCTTCAAGGTGTAATATGAATTGGTCTTTTAAAATGAATGAAATGGGCTTGTATTTATAGAATTTTCCAAGGCCTAATTTTGAATATAATATCCCAGATGAAATAAGTCGTTTCTGCCAGGTGTTGACACGTGTCCTATTTGATGACTTTTCCAACTCATTTCAATTTTCGTTTAATCACACTCTACGTGTAAAATTTATGTAATACATGAGCGTTGACACTTTGATTTATCGGTCAACATTTATTTACCGAAATTTTGATGTCTACAATGATGCCCCAAGCTCAGGGAGAAACCACCAAAAAAATAACTTGCTGAATCTCGAAAAACCAACAACAAATCGTAGGGCTTGGGTTAACTTTAGTAAGACCATCTGATTCACTTTGACATTACTCAGGAACTATAGAAGGAGCTTTACAAGACTCAGTTGAGATTCTAGAAGAAGCTATAAGTTGCTTATCCACATACAGGACCAGGAATGAAAATTCAAACCTACCTAATCCAAGCCAAAGTAGAACAACAAAGGCTTGAAAAGGAATGAGACTTACTATCAAACTTATTTTATTACGTATCTTTCAAATAGCCATTAATAAAAAATAAAATAAAATCCTAATGTTGGCCAATATATTGCGAGTTGTGGAGAAAACTACTTTGACACGTAAGCAAGCAAAAAATCCAAAAATCAACCCGTACCTATTGGTGACACATAATTTAGTTTGCAAATTTAGTCTCCATAGCATTATCATTTTCCATTTACGGGTTGATTTTTGGATTTTTTGCTTGCTTACGTGTCAAAGTAGTTTTCTCCACAACTCGCAATATATTGGCCAACATTAGGTTTTTATTTTATGCTTCAGTAATAAATCAATCATAAACTTTCATGTTTTTTAGTTTTCAAAATTTAGTATCTAAATTAAGTCTCCCTAACATTACCCAATGAAAAAATAATGCCAAACCACGAACTAATGAATTGACTCACCACCAAACCACGAATATGAAATTAGGGATGAGTGAAAGAAGAATGAGTCCTACTCGTACGAATAATGTAATACTACTAGTGGTGCGCCCCATTCATTAAAATTGAATTAAAGATATGGGCGTGGGCACAGTGGGCAGTGACTTTCAATTTTTTTTTTTAAATTTTATTATTTCCCTAAATTCATCTGATTTCTCTTAATGTAAATAATATTGTTTGCTTATAAAAAAGATTAAGAAAAAAAAAAGTTTCAAATCCGAACGCATGAATTGAAACTCACCACTATTAATTATTTCAATTGGGGTAGTGTTATCCACATATCTATTTTTATTTTTCACACACATTTCTCAATTTTCAACCATCGGATCTAATGAACTGAAAAATATCAATGGCTAAAATTTAACAAAGTGTTTGAATAACACCAAACACTATCCTTTAATTTAGTGTTTAAGTAGTCGTTCTTATCTTGATGAATTGTATAACCTAATTCTTAAGCCGACATTAAGATTTCTTATATATACCATTTTTGGGATTCATGTGGATCATAAGTGGAATGAAATGGAGCCTGGTCATGCTCATGGTAGAATTTTTCATGATTATACTCATGGTAGATGCTGAATTTTTTATGATTATAATCCAAACACTATTCTTTAATTTAGTGTTTAAGTAGTCGTTCTTATCTTGATGAATTGTATAACCTAATTCTTAAGCCGACCTTAAGATTTCTTATACCATTTTTGGGATTCATATGGATCATAAGTGGAATGAAATGGAGCCTGGTCATACTCACGGTAGGTGCTGAATTTTTTATGATTATACTCATGGTAGATGCTGAAATTTTTATGATTATAATATGGATGCTGAAATTTATGGGCTTGCTAGGCCACTACTTATCACCGTCGATATCAACCTAACTTTCATTTACTAGTATTACATGTTTAAGATTTTAACACAAAGGGTTTCAATTCTAATTTTAGAGAATCACACATTTATATGTTCAAAAATGTCAATTAGACACAAAACTGGCAACACTGTGATACACTCACTAATACAAGAGCATTTTGTATGTAATGTGAATAATTTTGTGTGTAAGTAGTCCAATTTTCGAGAAGAGCTTTTCTAATGTATTCAGGCACACCCTCATATATCAATCATTTCGCACACTCATTTACTAATATGTGAAATAATATGTTATGCGACAAATATTTGTACACCAAATTTTCTCGTTTCAAGAAGGGGATTTTCCATTAATAATGCTAGGTAGATTAATTTTTTAGTCTAAATTTATAAACTATGTAATGTGTCACAAATAAGAAATAAGCACGTTAATAAATATTTAAATAATAATTCAATCAATCATCAATAACCAAATCATATAATTTACAAAATATAATTTAAATAGAAGATCTTCCTAGCATTACTATTCACATGATTACAAGTTTTATATTCTCCATGCTGATCATTATAAAATGTGCAACTGGATTGAAAATATACCTGTCTCTTTCGTTACCAGTCCTCTCCCTATAATTATCTTCAATATCATACAACAATTATCTTCAATATCATACAACTTTTGTTCTTTAAATTATTATTTATTTTGCACTCCTAAATAAAAAAATGAAATCTTAATGAAACATTCATGGTATTGTTCATTTTTAACGTTGAAAACACTTTTACTCACTTTTGATACTATTCACTTGCAACATTTTTTATTAGCTTGTTTAAAATTCAAAATTTTCTAACAATTTTAATTAATTTTTCTATAAAGAAGCCAATAAACTAGGGACAAACAGAATAATAAAAGTAAAAACAAGCCAAAACCTCTCGGCCTCAGGTGGTCCTCCCTTGATTTATCTGCTCTCTTTCTAGTGTTTAAACAAAAACAATTTACCAACTATGGGGAAATCTATGTATTTATATTCCCCTCTGAGTCTCTTAGTGGAGGGGATTAAACTTATATATTTCCAACTTGGGTTTTTCACTTTGCAATGAATCCCTTGACCTTCCTTGTTTTAGTGGGAACAGAATTATCATAGTTCATAGTGCTCATTATCCTCAAAACTCACCCCAGTTTCTAAGGAATTAAATTCCTCTGTTTTTCTTTTCCAGCAGATCCCAGTTATTCCTACACCGAGCAGCAATGGAGTACTGGGACTTCGAGGACAGCGACCTTGCTGCTCTGGTGGGGTCCAGTATCTCACAACCCCAGATGGAGCATCGACCAGCTGAATCACTAGGATTGGAGGACGACCCAGTGAAGCTCTCATCGTCCGGAAGGCTTAGTGGTAGTAACAATGGAGGTGATCAACTGAAATTTCTATGCCTGGTCGACGGTTGCAGGGCAGACCTCAGCCGTTGTCGGGAATATCATCGGCGGCACAGAGTCTGCGAGCTCCACTCCAAGGCCCCTGTTGTCGTCGTCAGGGGCGAACAGAAGCGATTCTGCCAGCAGTGCAGCAGGTGCATAATATATCTACACACACACACACATATATATGAACAGTGATTAATATACACGCACGCGCCCGCGCGCACACACATATATACGAACAGTTCACCATGCTTAATTGGTAAGAATAGTCTAATTGTTTTATTTAAATCCGATAGTAAGAGTAGGTTTTATATTGCTTCTGCAAAGGCTAAAACTTCAAAGTATTTTTGAACAATTGAAAACTTATCGTATAAATACTTCATAGAAAGGCACTGGAATGTTAATAATAAATTCTACATGTTTGTAACAAGAGCACTTTTAGCATAAGTGCTTTATACAAAAACAGTTTCAAACAAGTCCTAATGTAGTTGGTTCAAGGCTTAAAGCTACTTCCCATCCGATGAATTACCTTTCTAAAATGAATAATCTCTGGTGTTTTCGTTGTTTTATGTATCTTGCTCGGCGAGTTTTATGGACAATTGATTAACAAAGAGTTTTTTTTTTTTTTTTATCAGTTTGAATCACAATATTTAGATATGATTGTAGATTCCATTCTCTGGTGGACTTTGATAAGGTGAAGAGAAGCTGCAGAAAACGTCTCAATGGACACAACCAGCGCCGGCGGAAACCTAAACCGGAATCCTTCTACTTCAGTTCCCACTTCTTCTTCTCCACATACCAAGGTATGGAGTCTATGCACCAAATCACTTGAATTGTTTAATTAGGACTAAGTAACTATATTTTTGTTGCAGTCTTCAGTCTTGATAGATATTTTCCGAACTGGATTTATTTTGCTAAATTGTGATTAACTCTTGGTTTAGAACCAAAAATGGAATTGAGACTTGAGAGAGTACATTTGTCTTTAAGAGTACTGACACACCGTTCTAATAAAAGAACAAATTATTGGTATCATTGTCACCAACAAAACAAATAGAAATGAATTGATGGATTTATATCAATATCCCCTACAATATCTATTGACAGACGTCCTGTATAGAGACTTTTTATATTTTTCATTCGTTTGGTAGTCATCTATATTGATTATTGTCTTGCGTGTAAAATTATCAGAGACCAATTTCAAACAACACTGATATTGTCCTTAACTTATTAATTACCACCTACACAGTCCTTCAGATGTGAGATTTTATCACAAAAGGCTTCAGTGTTAATCACAAAAGGCTTCAGTGTTAAATTATCAGAGAGATGGGTCATCGGCCCACTTCAAACAACACCGATATTATCCCTAACTTGTTAATTATCACCTGCACAATCCGACAGGTATGAGATTTTATCACAAAAGGCTTCGGTGTTAGATAAAGTGGGGTTAGGATATTTAATCTCTTCTTTTTTTCTTTCTATGGCTGATATGAGATATTTCAACATCATGGGATTGTTATTTATGCCTCTCTATTTCTCAACATTCAGGTCCCAGGATCCTGCAATTTAGTAATCCACGAGTATGTGCAACAACTAATGTGAGATGTATCTGGCCTGTTAAGGACAAAAAAGGAGCAGAACCCATGCGTTCTAACTACCACCACCAGTGGTTGTCCGCAACTGACGAACGAAGTCCTCCCAATTCCTTCAACGGCGGAGGAGATAAACAATTTCTTTTCTTGCAAGCTAATGATCCTAAAGCCGCTGCAGGCAACCGAGCAGCCCCTCAAGCGTTCATGTGCCAGCAGCAGACGTTTCCAACAACCGTTGCTGCTGCCTCACCAAAAAGCACAAAGAGTTGTGCCCTCTATCTTCTGTCATCTCATCCAACACAAAATTCAGTGAGTGGGCCAGACCACTTGGCTCAGTCCACTGTCACCACTACTCATCCATGCTCACATGATGTGGAGGACAGGCCTGTAAATCCAGAAATGATGTTTCCAATGCGCCCTGATTGCTTTTGGGACAACTGAGCGCAAATGCTTCCGATTTTATTGGAGTAGCTTGTGTTTTTGATACTTTACTAGTTTCTCTGATGTTGATTGAACAACTAATCTGGGACTAGTCAACCGTAGAAAACTCCCCCAACCATTTGAATGTTTTGAAGTATTTGTGTTTTATGGAAACGAACAATTATGTTTCTTCCATTTGATTTCCAAACTTGGAGATGAAAAGTTAGTATGATTTGTGCTTGATTATATCAATATATAATCAAATAAAGTCTGAAGAGTGAGACTGATGATATCAGGAGTTTTAACACCCACCTGTTTTCTACATGACTACCGTGTTTATTTTTAGTATTTGAATTGAATAAATTAGAAAAAAATCAAGTGACATAAATAAATTCGACAAAAAAAAAAGTGATAGAAATAAACAAGAGTGGCTAGAAGGATAAGAGAGTAGTGCCGAAATTATTTCCCATGACATACATTCTATTAGAGTTTCCTCTCTTATAATAGACAACAATATAAGCCCATGGTTGAGGAAGGAATTCAAAGAGTTATCGACACTAAGCTAAGGCATCATCTTGAAACTCGGATGAAGTTTGAAGGCAATTGCTCCCAAACAATCCCAACTATAGTAAAATTAATCATTATTTGTTCGAATCGATTCCCAACATAAAATGACCAAATTAAGATGATGGCCGAATTCTAACATGTGTTATCACGTGACGAAAAAGATAAAGAAATAAGATATAACATTGGATACATTCAAGAATTCGTCGTGATATAGAGTTGAGCTCATGATGCCAATTAGTGTGCTTAAAATGTACCTGATTGAATATTTTGCCTCAAAGTTTGACATTAATTAGAAAATCACCATTTTAGACTTTTAATACTGATTTATGAATATTTTCTGCATGGGTTTCGCTCCCTTCTTCAATAAAAGAAGCCAACATTTCAAAGTTCCAAGCATTCTCTTACCCAAAGCCATTATTTCAATATCTTCCTCTCTATCATACATATAATGATTTGGTGGAATGATGACAATGATGCTGGCATGGCTCAATCAAACAAAAGTTCTTGATGGTTAATTGATCGGGTCATTTAATCTCATTGAGCCGTGCCAATATCATCTTCAATCTCACCGCACTTCATGTATCTCCCCAAAAAAAAACTCATCAACCAACTTTTTTATTAGAAAACACATAATGTGTACACACTACACATAGATAGTCCTCCCATCCTGTGTATCCAACTTCTTGTTGTGGCCTTTTCTTCTCTGTGGAATACATTGGGCTTCATCAATTTTCATTACGAACTCAAGACAGAAAACCCAGGATGGGAAAAGGGAGAAAGCCCAAAACTCAGACAAAATGGACTCTCCTTTAGTCAGCTAGTGTTGTCTAATATTAGTAACTCGCACGCTGGTAAGACCATTGTGGGTCCGGTGAAAACGGAATCATATGAGTTTCATCCTATTGTGAAAGGTATCTTTTGAATAACATAGTCTCGGTCGACACCCAAAATCAAGTTTTTCTCGCTTCCATGCTAATATAGAAGAATTTGAGTAAATTAAGATGAGATCCTATCTTGGGGACATGTCATGTTGCCACGGCCCTTGGATTGGGATTAGTTGTATTCCTTGACAATTGAGACCCCCAAAAAGTGGAAAAGAAATCTCTGTTGTCATGTTAAGGTAATCAGTCTTATGGTTCTTCATTATTTGTGTATGATCTTTTTTTCCTAGGTGCTCATTTTGTATGGCCTTTTAGTTTAATCTTTCTATTCAGTGGTGTGGTTATTGGTAAGAACTTATTGAATCCATCGTTTGGGCTCATAATAAATTAAAAGTTGCTCTTGTTACTCAGCGAAATCAACTACTATAAAAGTATTGTAAATGGTGGATTATCTTGATGGATAGAGTATTTCTCTTTAAGCCATTACATCTCAAATTCAAAGTCTCTCCTCACCCCTTAGAAAATCGCACAAACACAAAAGTTGTGGATGGATGCAAAGCGACCACGCTAGTTTGGTTCATGAAAATATTCGATCACTTGCCGCATAAAAAAATTCAAAATTCAAACTGAGAACATAGTAAGAGTCAAAGGCTGGGAGGGAGAAGGAACTTACATCATTAGATACTCTTTTTGGAGAAAAGAAGATAGAAAAACAAAGCAAACATGGAAAATAAACAAGAATTCCAACAAGCACTAATAAACCAACTTGTATATAGAGAGGGAATTAGGAATACGGACTTTTCAATCAGGTAGAAAAAGAATATCTTATCCGCGAAATTTAAAAGTTAGAGAAATGTGGAAGCTTTTATCACTTTCTTTCTACTGTCTAGATAGCACATGTTGAGTAAAGCAAAGCATCCCAATTTGCAAGTATCCTTAACCATAGCTTGATCCATCATCCTAAAGTATATATCATCAGATCATATTCTCCTCTCTCTCTCTTTCATTAACCTCCAAATACTACTACATAGATATGGTATATCTCTTTGTACGTATATGGTAAATACATGATCCTTACTATATATACTACAACGCTAATATCTTTATTCCGGTTTTGCTACAGTAGAACGATATTCTTGTTAAGAAATGGCTTGTGTGTATATATATATAATTCGTAATTACTTCATGCTGATAAGTATATATATCATGTGTCTGAGTTTGCACTCTCTAGATTTGCTACATGAAAAGCAAAGCAATCTGAATCTCCTCATATAAGATGAAAGTGGATCGACCGAGAGTGCTGGTGTACTTTGAAAAAGACACCGTTCTTATCCCACCAAATATATGCCCCCTGCAAGTTTGCCAGTTTAGGTTTTTTTTTTTCTTTTTCTTTTTTTCAAGAAATTATGCTTGCTGTCTAAGTCTCTAGCACCATATGCCTCGTCCAACGACCCAAGCACACAAACAAGAAGCATAAGGTATTGTCTAGTGCCTGCTAGCTACCAGCAGTGTACCACCATAGACATATATTCTTGTTGGAGAACAATTTAGAAATAAATAAAAAATAACAAAACTTGAAATACTTTATTGACGAAAAATACTTGCTATACAGAATAAAATAACAGGAATAAATACAAGAATTAAATTGGTACTAACTTGATTAACCATAGGTAGAGGCTAGCGCAAAAGCTATGTCCTTCGAACAGTATTTCCGTCTCACTCTTGTGCTTGTGGTTCTACAACGTTTGCTCGACCAGGATACAACTACCTAATTATATAACCCTCACTAGATTATAGAATTCTAGCGAATTGTTTTGTGTGTTTACTCTCTAGAAATTTTGTACAGAAGAGAAAGAGGAAGAAAAGATGATTCTATTTGGAAACTGTGATTGCAAATATATAGGTTGTTCCACACCCTTTCAAATACCTATTGAGCGTATTTCAAAAGACACAACTCTTTCTAAGAGCTATGTCTCTTAATCAAACGTTTCTTAATTAACACGTTGATTAAAAAACTTAATCTAAAATTAAAATTAATGAACTTGGATTAATTTTAACTTCCAAGGCATTAGGCTATATTATACAAACCAAATTCACACAACCATAAGGCCCAAGCCTTCAATCTATTTTCAAATGGTCCAAGTTCTAATTACTAGAACAAAGGACTAGACCTATATAAATGGCAATTCACACAACCATAAGGCCCAAGCCTTCAATCCATTTCCAAATGGTCCAAGTTTTAATTACTAGAACAAAGGACTAGACCTATATAAATGGCAATGGAAACCGATATGGAACACTAAGAGTCTCAAAACTCCAACAATTATCCCTGTAAATTTGTAAAAGATGACGATGACGATGACGATCAGTTGCATGATATTTTTCCATGGTCAGTTACTTGAAAATTGATCTGCAACACATGCACTACCGATCGTTATTCTTTCGAGCACTTTATCTCTTTTTGGAGACGTATGTATAATCTATTTGGTTGTCCTCATGGATCAAGCAACAAAAAGTTGATTAAAAATCACTTTTTAAAACTTGGGGAATCATGATCAGGATATGCAAATTAAGCATTTAATACATCACGAAAACATGTCCTTAATTGTAACATAGACTAATAGTAATAGTTTAGATAGTGGGAGAAGCATAAAATTCTTGCTTAATTCTCTAAAATGGCACATTTAACTGTAGTAGGATATATGGCCTTTCTCTAGAAGTTCTTAATTAATTAGTGTTCCAAGTGATTCTGTTCTCTTTATATATTCTAACGCTTACTTATTTTATTTGTCACTGGCAACTAATTATTAGTTTATTAGTGTCCCTAACCTCCCCAAACAATGTGAAAGACATAATTAATCAAACAATAATGATTGGTTTTAGAAGAATAATTGTTGAAACTTCCACATGGAAAAATTGACAATACTAATTGCAATAGATAATATATGGTGTTATTTTTATTGCACCGGAAACTTTTATGATAAAACTCAATTCCAACTGAGCTAGCAGCTGGGTAAGTTGTGAATGATATTGTGTTGTAAAATTAGTTCGTTTCTCTGAAATTTGGCAATAGTTAAAAAACAAATACTCATATCTTATAAAGTATTTGTTATCTAATTAGCTGATAGTGATGATCCATACATCGGGATAAATGGAACACGTACATAATTAAAGATGATTCTTCCAGATATTTAGTAGAAGGACCACGATATATACTGATCGACCATGTCCATCTGCTGCACCCATTTCAACTTGATCAGCAACTTTTTCGAAAGAAAAAGAAAATACGTACCGCAACAAAAAATGTTATCTATATATATATATAGACTCCTCAGTCGTTGCACTACAACATATTTGCTCTAACACATTTGATATAGAGCTACACAAAAAAAAGGGACTCAGATTACAAAATGGAGTCAAATCGCAAACGCGGAGGTTTCATGAAGGGGAAGTTGATGCCGTTCTACCGAGCTGCAAAACCTATTTCGAAAACAAGTATGCAATATAGTAGCATCGCCATAACAACAAGCAAGGTGAAGCCGAGCCAGGCTACTACTTCACCAGCTTACTCAGTTGGGTATACAGTCCACGGCCAGGATTACGTGATTGCAGCAGCTCAGCCAAAGCAGAAGGTTTCGTTTATACTTCCCGCAGGCGCTGCAGATCATCACACCAAAAACAGCCTCGTCAAGCAGCAGTACTTTGATCATTATGGCGGTGCTGGTGACGAGGATGTCGATATGAAGGCTGCCAGCTATATTTCCTCGGTTCAAGAACGTTTCAAGCTCGAACGGATCAACTCTTGATCACGGGGAGGGATAATCAAATAGTGACCAATACACGTACGATCCATCACACAATATGTATAATTACTATGTTCGATCTCGTAATAAAAATCCCTAAACATGATTTAATATTTGTGTAGAGAGATCGAATTTCATTTGTTTAATTATGTGTGTCACTAAATTTAAAAGTTACAAGTATGGCATCATTTGAGTCAGTATTGCATGCATGCATGATTAATACGATGTTCGAATCAACGATCAATTGTTAATAATTCATCTCATCTGTGCACCTGATCTTAATTAGTTATCACAGTCTTCGGGGTGGTTTGGGAGTGAGGTGCTTAAAAAAAAGCACCCATTAAAAAAAGCTGTGAGGGTTTTAGGTGTTTGGTATAAACTAAAAAAAAAATGGCTTATTTTGGAAGCTGCTATGAGAATAAGCTGAAATCAAAAGAAAAAGCTGAAGTTGCTATTTGCAGCTTTGGAAAACTGGCTTTTTTTCAAAGCACACGGATCTACAGTGCTCCTTTAATGAAAAGACCCACTATCAGACTATTTTTTTTTTTCAAAAGCACTTTTACAAAAAAGTTTACCAAATACTCTGCTGATTTAATTTACAGCCGCTTATTCTCACAGCACAGCCGCTTATTCTCACAGCAGCTTTTTTTCAAAGCACAGCAATACCAAACCAGCCCTTCATCACATAACACGAAATCAATGGATATGCACAGCCCAAATTTAGATGAATACTGCCGTGTATAATTTCAGATTTGGTGATTAATCGATGTGTACTGCTATCGATTTCCTGGAGTTGATCAACTGCAGAACAAAAGAAAATTAGTGTAAGCATTTTTATATTGGAGGGTTTCAAACCCTAAATCAGTATACGTTTTCCTATAACACATGCATGTCAAGAAAAACCTGAAAATTTATGTTTACTTTAAATAAATATGATATACGTCAACCAGGAACTAGAATTGAAAAACTTATTAGGAATGTATAATTAACAACCAGACCACATTAATTTTCATAATTGACTTCATTTTAATCTCACTACTAAATCACTCATATTGGGGGTTGAGAGTATAGACTGGTTTTTTTATGGGAGTTTTAACGAAAAGCCCACGGTATTGTTCACTTTAACGAAAAACCACATTTTTACATTAAAAAGTCAAACCTGGTACTATTCACTTTACCCTTTATTTTGTCCTTATCATTAAAAGTCAAAGTTTTCAAGCCATTTTCATTCATTTTCTTTTTTTTTCCGTTGCTTGTTGATTTATTTGGTGTTGGAGAAATACATTTGTTTTAGCTGGATTTTGAATGACTGACAAGCCTACAATTTATATTTGTACTTACCTTCATAAATGGTTGAATGCTAAGACTCACAAGATTAATAAACCCTATAGTATTGAATCTTTGCTCTGTTGGGAAGCTCATTGGTTTAAGCTTAATGTTGATGGTTGCAATAAGGGAAATAATATTCTATTGGATTAGGCAGCGTTTTAAGAGATTCTTATGGTTAATGGATTTTTGAGTTTTGCGCCAATTTGGGCACAAGTGAGATTCTCACTGCTGAGTGACATTATTTGGATTACAATTGGGATGGAGATTACAAATTGATAAATTACTAGTGGAATCAGACTCTATCCTCAAAGTTCATTTGGTGTTGCAAGTTGTGTCAATAATTATTCTTTGGTCCCCTTGTTTTGTCTTCAAGATCTTGGCGCCTATCCACTTAAAAAGAATTTTGTGGCGGATAGTTTAGCGATCTATAGTCTTGATTTAAATTTAGGTAACTTTTACTTTGATAATTCTTCTTCTTTTTTATTTAGTTTTGTTCGTGAATATCAACTTGGGATGTTCAGATCTAGATTTATTATTAAATAGCTTTGTTTTTATTCTTTTATTCTTTTCTTTTTTGTAAAAGTTTCACTTTATTACCAACCAACCGAAACAAAGTACACATATAAACAACAAAAGGCAGAAACAAAGGCAGCCCCAAGTACACGTATAAACAACAAAAGATGGGCCAGAAACAAAATAAAACACAACAGGAGCCAATCAACAGATAGGCCCAAACCAAAGCTATACAACACAATCTGGAAACTTCTATTATATTCCCCGCCTCCCTTGCTCTACAAGATCCATCCAATTCCTTTCCCACCACCAAGCATTGCCTCATTGGATGCACCTTCCAACTCCTATACGCTCCTCGAGCACTGCCATAAATCCGTGGAAACTCACGAATGACACTGCCGGTAAAAGCAGACAACATAGAGAAAGTGGTGGTGTTGGAAACACCCGAGCCGGTGTAAATGTTGGAACTCTACACACGAACTCAACATTATGCATGGCAAAAGTTCAGAATATGAATGATTTAGGAGAAGGGATGCCCACAAAGGTAGAGGAACGGAAGATATTAGTAAAGCAATAAGAGGAACAACACAGTAGAAACCAAGAAAAAGAATAGAAAGAAAGAAATGGGGGAAAGGCGACCGATCCGAGCCGAAGCTAGGGTCTGCGCCACCGTGAATTTCTGAAGATTAAAAACCTCACACTAAAATGAGAAGAACTCTTACCACTGAGAGAAAGACTCACTCGAAGAGAGAGGGATTTTGTTAACTATTAAATAGCTTTGTTTGAGCTATTATCATTTAGCCCCCTTTTTCAAACCAAAAAAAAAAAAAAAAAAGCTTCTTTGAATGGACTTGGATTTTCTGTCCTTCCCATCCCATGCCTTTTCCATCCCCTCTTATTTTTGTGGTCACGGTTAAACTACGTCAACATTTTATATTTCCATTATTTTTTGTCTTATTATTTTTATTAAAAAAAATCAATATAAAATGTTGACGTGGTTTAACCGTGATCACAAAAAATAGGAGGGGATGAGAGGGGCATAAGATGAGGAGGGCAGACAATCCAAGTCCATTTGGAATTTAGGACAACTTTGAATTCAATTTCGCGATAATCTGGAGCTCGACAAAAGAATTTCTATTAAAGTTTTTAAATTCTTAGTTGAAAACTTAATAGGTGAAAATGAAACATCGTAATGATTTATTTTGTTTACTGTTGCTTTTTCTTTCTAAAGTGGAATTAAGAATCCTACTTTGTCCTCTCCTTTCTTTAGGCTGTGGATCTTACGGTCCTACCTTACAATTTTAGGTAAAAAATCATTTCGGTACTACATGGTTTTCAGTTTGTTCTTCAGGTTAATTTTTTATATTAATTTGGTCATTGTGTACCTTCCATTGGTAATAATGATTGTTTTTCCCTAAGTTGACCTTATTTATTCCAATGTGTGCTCATTTATATGCGGCTCATGAGCACATTAATATTACTGAATTTGAACAAACGATCAAAACATAAATATGTACACTAAAACACAAGGATTAAATTGACGATTTTTCAAGTTAAAAATTCGATCGAACCACAAAGATCGCGGTGGGCGAATAAGCTGCTAGAACATTCAACATATACTTATCAGTCAAATGCAACTTATTAAGATTCAAGCTATTGTAATTTGCAGCTATGTTGATACTCAAAGTTGATGTTAAATTATTGCCTTATTGGTTCACTTTCCAAATACTAGGCGCTACCTCTCTTACCGTTTCTGTGAAAGCATATATTCGTGTCAAACATACTATACTAGCCCAAGGATGGATTAATTAAAGGAAATTTTATCAAAAAGCTTTCGGTACTGTTCATTTTAACAAAAATCATATTTTTACACTAAAAAGTCAATGGTACTATTCACTTTACCCTTTATTTTGTCTTTATCGTTAAAATTTAAAATTTTCAAGCTCTTTTCATTAGTTTTCCTTTAATTTAAAAGGGCATAAAGCCACAATCATCAAAACTAATTAGCAATGGAAAGTAATGCAATATTCTTGTGTAAAGTTATGCAAAATTCCTTAATCTTTGGTGAAAGATAACTCTTCATATCCTCACAAATTACACACATATGAGCACGATAAAGCAAATTGAAGCCCCTACATTCTTAGAGTCAGTAGTGCAACAACCTTGGAGTTGGATGGGCTCCTAGTCCGACCTACTTCTTTTCCGACATGGTTTGAAGTAGCTTTTAAAATGGGTGATAGAGATTTCAATTTTCACAAAATATACCGTAAGATTTTAAAATTATACGATTTATACATTTGATCTCTTTAAACGTTTAATCATCATCAAATTGATGAGTTTTTCTATCAATACAATGCAACACGTAACTAACATAATATCCCATGTAAGAGTCTCAAAGTTCACAATACCATCCGAATCATCACACAGCCAATTAGACTGCATGCAAAAAATGATACAACTTCCATTAAACCTAACATTTTTTCCCGTATGACCTATTGGGTTGTGAATCCGGCCACTGAGATGGACGGCGGCAATAGGCCCAAAATGGCCATGGGGTCCAAAAACAATCATGCCTTGGTGTATGCCGGTGCGAAATGTTGGGCTAACCCTAACGTACGCCGACTATACCAGCAACTGTTGACATCACTGGTGTCAGTCCAATTCAACAAAAACCGCCGTCATGGAATTTTGTCCTACCGCCTTCTCTCTTGAGATAACTTCAGGAATACGTTTCCCCTTTCTCTTTCTTCCTTATCGATTCATTCCAAGAACGCATGCCACATATACCCCCAGTCGAATGCCAAGTGTACGTACCACAAACTGGATTATATTCTATCTATCGGTATATATTTTGGCTATCTGAAACACCATGGAAAAACTCATGTACAGGGGATTTTTATCTGTATTTTATGCAAATAAGTAACGCAGTAATACGATTGACGTGCGAAAGAATATTTTTACAAATAACTTATGAACTGTGACAACCATAACATAATTGGATTTTAGGCTTTGAAAGTTTTACACATCTGTATCAGACGAAGTAAATTTTATAATTAAAACTTTTACACATCTATATTAGACGATAAATTTTAAATAATTAGATTTTATACTCTCAATTTTGTCAATCGAACACCATATTATATCCGTTACAAATAGTTAAA